TGTCGGACTCTTTTCGACCCCACGGACTATATAATCCATGGAATTCTCCAGGCCAGAATATTGGAGTGGGTAGCCTTTCCCTTCTCCAAGGGATCTTCCCAACCCAGGGACTGAACCCAGGTCTCCCGCATTGCAGCCAGATTCTTTACCAGCTGAACCACAAGGGACGCCCAAGGATACTTGAGTGGGTAGCCTATCCCTTCTCCAGCGGATCTTCTCGACCCAGGAATCGAACTGGGGCCTCCTGCACTGCAGACGGATTTTTTACCAACTGAGCTATGAGGGAAGCCCCAAAGCCACCCAAAAACAACTCTAAACCATGGATCAAGCTGTGTGCAATTCTGTTTGGAGAAGTGTTGGGAGGATGAACTCAGAGTTCATGTTTGACCATCTGCAGAAGCCTCGCTCACCATGATAATAGGGTTGTTGTCCATTCACTGAGCATTTCCCTGGCAAATGCTAAGTCCTGACATGGATGATCCCATCATTCTTCAACAGCCCTATGGAACAGGTCCTTAGTGGTCCCATGTTACAGATAAGAAACTAAAGCTCAGACAGCTGAAGCAACTTGCCCATGGAATTTAATGAGTGGCAGGTTGAGAATCTGAATCCATTCATCTGACCACACAGGCCTCTTATCCTCTATGATATACCACCTCTTTGCCCAAAGAAGAATCCTTATCTGAACTTTGCAAGAGAAAATCTAGTTGCAGAAAAGCACCAGGAGGCTGCTCTGAGGAAGATTAGAGAATGGAGGAAGCAGCATTTGCAAAGGCTCTAGAAGTCTGACAAGGCAGAGGCAAGCAAAATGTTGGTCAAGACCAGATGCTCAGCCTTCTAGGGACTCACAGATGTGAACAAAAGAGAAATGAGGCTCCTGGGTGGGCCCAGTGTTCAGTGTGTGTGTGAGGGGAGAAAGGGACTGAAGGCTAATCATTGAGAAACCCCTCGGGCTGGATGGTTGACAGTTTGTATAACTTTTGATAACAAACAGAACCAAGCTGATGTAAATCAGAGAGGAGCCTAAGGCAGAGTGGTGATGCCCTCTTCCATCAAGAAGACCGTTGACTCCCACAGAGGAGATGAGGACCATGTGGTACACAAAGTGAGAACTTAAGGGAGAGAAACACCCCACCCCAACCTCCACCCCCACCACCAAAGCTCCAACGGGGAGAAGCGTGGAAGTACCTGAGGGGAGTCCCTGTAACAATGAAGATGCTCCACCTTGGACCTGACCGTTCAGATTTAATCCACTCTAACACAGCCACTCTCCTTGCTGTCCGCCATCAGAGAGGTTTAGAGCTAGAAGGAATCTCAAGTAACCCTTACTCACCATCCCCAGCACCCACCCACCACCATAACCACTGCCAGCTATCCTGACCACTCCCCCCCACACTGTGTCAGGATGTAACTGGACTCAGCCAGATGGGCTTCTGTCCAGAACCACGAAGAAAAGAAGTCCACATGACTCCTCTGATCGTCAGCTCTGATGTTAACGTCATCTATGACAATCAATCTCTTTCAGTGTGGTGGTTTAAACTATTTTTTTCTAATTTGCTGGACATAGAGGACACATTTCACCTTAAATCCATAGTTCAACATGCTTTTATAAGATATTCTCCAATTGTCAAAAGTGGTTCTCTCTGGGACATGGGATGATGCACAGCCTCCTATTTCTCTTTCATTGAAATTGTTTTAACCCTGATGTATTATTTCTACTTCCCCTACCCCACCAATAAAAGAAGTGGTTGTTTTGAAAGCTCCTCATGGAGCTTTATTTAATTGTCTCTTTTCTCCAGGCTAAATGTGCCTAGTTTCATCCAGAGGTCAATAATTCAGATCCCTCTGTGGCTCAGACAGATGATATAAAGGAATGAGAAAGAAGTCGTGGAAGGCCCAGCCTGCACACTTCCCCATGGGCACTCTCCTCCATCCTTTATTTCCTGGTTCTCCAAGCTTTCTAAATTAGCACGTAGAGCCTCAGAAGAGAGTATCTTTGGTTTTAGCCATCCAGCGACAGGCCTTTATTTGTTGTCTCAACAGCAGTCTCGGTCCCGTGCCAACTGCTGGCCAGCACACAGGATTTACACCTGCAAAGATGATCAGTCCCTGAGTCCCAGGAGAGCCACGGAAGCCGAGCAAGCATCCCAAGGAAATGTGACTAGCAGACCTCACTCTGCGTTGGCTCGGGCGCCATGGCAACAGAGCACCCCATCCCGAGCAGATGGCACAGCAGACTGCCCGGTCACGTGGCGCCTGCTCTGGCAGACTGGGCTACCTCCCCGAGCTGGCTCGCTCTGTCCAGCTGGCACGGAGTCACACTGGTAACTATTTACACGAGTCAAAATCCACCCAGCGGCAGCAGATGGCCAGGTTGGGATGAGACATGGGGAGTAATGGGCCGGTTTGGGCTGAGTCAGAGGCAGGAGTAGCAGACAGCTCCTCTGTGGGCACTGACAAGTCTGAACATCGCTCCACATCACTCCTGCCACTGCCTGATCTCAGTGTGGCTAGAGGCTGGGAAAAGATCCCACATGAACAAAGCAAATGATCACAGGCTGATCTTGAGATCCTGAGGTAGAATGGTGTTGGACAGGCCTGCCCCATTCCTGAGGGGCACCTGATCACACCTGGCCGTCCTCCGGGGCTCCTGATCATCTCTGGAGGAGGGCACACTGAAGAAAGCCCGCCGAGGAGCCACGCCTGGCCAATGGAAGGCATTCCAGGATATTGGTGTGGCTGCTCTGGAGAACAAACGAAAATTCCTTTAGAAACTAAAAACAGAGTTACCATATGATCCTGCAATCCCATCCCTGGGCATATATCTGGGAAAAATGAAAACTCTAATTTGAAAAGATACATGCACCCCAATATTCATAGCAGCACTATTTACAATAGCCAAGACATAGAAGCAACTTAAGTGTGGACACTTAGAATAAAGAAGATGTGGTATATATATATATATAGTTGTTGTTTAGATACTAAGTGGTGTCTGATAGTTTGCAATGCCATGACTGTAGCCTGTCAGGCTCCTCTGTCCATGGGATTTCCAAGGTAAGAATACAGGAATGGGTTGCCATTTCCTTCTCCATGGGATCTTCCTGACCCAGGGATCGAACCCACGTCTCCAGCATTGGTAGATGGATTCTTTACCACTGAGCCACCAGGGAAGAGTAATTAGCAATATTACTCAGCCATAAAAAGAATATAATATTGCCATGTGCAGCACCATGAATGGACCTAGAGATTATCATACTAAGTGAAGTAAGTCAGACAGAGAAAGACAAATACTATATATCACTCATGTATAGAATTAAAAATGTGATACAAATGAACTTATGTTCTTCTTTGAACTTTTGAACTTCTGTTACAAAACAGAGACAGACTCAGAGACATAGAAAACAAGGATGGTTAGCAAAAGGGAAATGGGGGAGGGATAAATTAGGAGTATGGGTTTAGCAGATACACACTGCCAAGCATAAAATAGATAAACCATAAGGACCTACTATATAATACAGGGAACTGTATTCAATATCTTGTAATAATCTATAATGGGAAAGAATCTGAAAAAGAATATGTATGTATAACTGAATCACTTTTTTTTTTTTCTGAGTCAAAGAATTTAATCACATTATTGTTCACAGCATTCCCTCTCCTTTTCATGTCTGTGGGGGAGACGTGGTCGGGGAGTCCCGAGGGGACGGCTGAGAACTGCCCACGGACAGCACAGCAGAATGGCCCCCATGACCAGGCAGCCTGTGGGCCCACAGAACACTGACCCCACGCCACCCAGCTCCCAAAGCCACACACGAGAATGGGCCAATCCAGGGTCTCCGAGTTCGAGGGAAAGCAGAGGCCATGAGGATAGACTCGGGGAGAGCCATCGCCAGGGGCGATCAAACCCTGGTCCTGCAGTCTGAGGTCCCTGCTCAGCCTCAACTCCAGGGATCTACCCCAGGACACATCAGGTGGCCGCTGCAATAGGAGGGATCAGAGTCAGACCACCAGGAGGACCAGCAGAGATGGTTGCTGATTTCTGGATGTGTGTGCATATGTGCTCAGTCATGTCTATGCGACCCCATGGACTAGAGCACGCCAGGCTCCTCTGTCCATGGGGATTCTCCAGACAAAAATACTGGAGTGGGTTGCTATTTCCTTCTCCACTGAATCACTTTTTGTTGTTGTTGCTGCATACCTGAGATGAACACAACATTGTAAATCAACTATACTTCAGTTTAAACAACCTTTTTTAAAAAGAGAAACCTTCCCATTACAAGGCAAGCAGCTCCAAAGCTCTAGGTTTAAAATCTCAACCAGGATAAGTGAAGAGATCAGGAGCTCTGGTGTCTTTGTCATCTTTATCACTCACGTGGCCCAGGCTTGGTACACAACAGGCAATCAGGGGCATATGTTGGGGTGACTTGAAAGCATCTGTGACGCAAATCCAACAGAACAACCTTTGCCTGTGACTGGGTTTAGGGCATGTGTAATTTTTTAAGGCAGGATGTCAACTCTAGAACATTTTGTGAGCCATTCTGAGCGCCAAGAGCACCGGTGATATTCTGACGTCATTAGTCCAGGGTAATACTGGGTGTTTCATTTCCTGCTTTGGAATTCTTTCCGTCACAAGACCTCGGTGTCTCCCAGGCCCACAGCCAAAAAGCTGGAGCGAGAGTGAGACTCATGCACGCCCACAAGGACTGCAGCTCTCATCTGCCAAATGGAGAGTATGTGGACTTGAAGCACTTTCTTCCTTCTCATCTCTCTCACCAGAAAGATATGCAGGGTACCAATCTGTAGCCACAGCATCAGTGATGGGGCGGCGGCCTTGAACCTCAGCATCAGCATCAGCACCAATAACCTGGAGGTCAAACCGGGGCAAAGGTCATCGAGCTGGGAGGCACACGGTCTCCCTAAACATCTCTGGACATTAACACTGAGATTTCTAGAGAATCACTAGACGCAATGGGCTAGAGGAGTCATAAAATGATTGTCAGAAATGATTCTGTCTCCATGTTTATTTGGAACCTTAAAGAAAATGAAGAGAGACTGACTGCCCCACCAAAAGAAGTGCAGAATCACGACAGGCTTGGGAATTCTGGGTGGTGAAGGGATGGACTGCAAGGCTCAGCAACTTAGCCCGTAATCAAAGGCAGCGGGGTTATTCTGAAAATAGAGATTCAAGAAGCCCAGGAAGGTGTTCTTATCGGTGAGAAGAGAACAGACTGTGGGATCCTGCTTCATGGCTGCAATCCAGAGCCGGAGCGTGGGGGTGTGGTTCACACAGCTGCAGAACAGGAGAGAAGCGTTAGCCATTCTGAAGGTGAAGGGGGACGCAAGTCACTTTTTAGACTACAAGCTACAAGAGATGGGTTTATTGGGGCAACAGAGCTATCTTAGTTACTCCTACCAACTGAGCACAGTCACTGACTGGAGGGAAATCTGATTCTTGAAATGGCCATGTGTCTTTAGACTCACCAAAGTTGTTTTTAACCCTGCAGTTAAAATACTTGTGGACTGAGTGCTCTGGGGAAATAAGGTGTCTGTTTTTCACTGTTTGCCAACAAAAAGACACATTCTTCAGTCATTCTCAGATTTTACTTTTGGGGGATTGGAAAAAAAAAAAAAGTTTCCAAAAACACATTTTTAAAGAAATGAGTAAAATAATCATGAAACCTTGAAATAATGGAGCTGACTGGGCCCTTTCAGGGACTGATCAGGACGTGTAGGTCTCAGATCTGTAGTGACTTGCCCAGATGGTAAACTTGTTAATGGAAAATCCAGGAGGAGAGGGTTCCTAATGTGTGGTTCAAGCTCTGTCCCCAGAGGAGACAGGTTTTGACGAGGTTTATGTTCTGACATGGTTTAAAATATCCAAGTCTGTGACATCTGACCTGCCCTAAGTGAGGAAAGATGAATAAGATGAATAAGATTCATAAGATGAATCCTGGGTAAATTCAAACGTGTGCATTATAAAAGTCCAGATGCAGTTCCGCCTCGGCAGGACTGCATTTCCCAACACCAGAATGGTCCGGCACCCGCCATGTGACCGGCTGGTGTAAGAGCAAAGCCAGCACAAGTTTGAGTTCTCCTGTGAGTGTCGTGGGAACAAAGAACACGTCTGTCCGGAGCCCCTGTGTGGTCTCCCTGAGTCTACAGGGCAATTGCTTCTACTTCAAGCATCCCTACACTCGTGTGGTGTGTGGCTGGCCATTTTGTTTATTATCTAACATCAAGCATACATTACTTTAAAAATCATTTGTTTTTTAAGGGTATGCCTATCTGGAGAAAGATTCCTCCGGTAACTAAGGTGCCCCGTAAGGGATGTGGGGTCCACTGGGGGACACAGCAGGACCAGGCAGAGGGCCACCGAGGGAGCTGCAGACTAGCCACCAAAACCGTGTGACTGAGACCGTCCACCTGCTTCTGCATTCACCACCGGCTATGCCGGATGGGTGGTGAGGACAGCCAGCAGGCTCTGAAACACGAGGGAGGCTTCCGGATGCAGTCTTAGCAGCAGAAACATGGATAAAGTGTGTGTCTGCAGTTAGTGGCATAAGTGCACAGGTGCATTTTGAACAAGGAAGCACACAGTTTAAAACTCTACATTCCACATTCACGTGAAACATGTCCAGAGGAGGACAGATGGCACAGAGATCATTGGAAGCACTGCTACCCAGTGCGACCCTAGGAATCTATGACCATACAGCTTAATGTCTTACTCGGCTATTCCATATACATCCAGCCGCTCAAACCAGGGCCAAAAGAGGTAATCAATCATGGATATACAGTCTCCGCCAAAGAAGACGGTGTTCTGATAGCCAAGAATCTGGAAGTTTAAACAGAGCAAAAGCAAGTTAATTAACCCATCTGCTAATGTATTTATGGGCACTAAATACAAAAATCAAATTAATTCCCAAAGAAGGAGACCCAAGGCTTGGAGTCGTCTTCCATTTGGTTAGGTGAATGCTTCTTCCCTTTTTCTGAGGTTTCTTCCAGCTCCTTTAGGGTCTGTTCTCCAGGCCACACTTAGCCCCGCCCTCCTTTCAACCCTGGTACCCCAGCGGCTCACCTGATTGGAGGATTTGGAAGAACAGCCCCACCTCTCTCAGCCTAGAACAGGGTTCTCCCTGCTCTAAGCTTTCTAGGGCTCAGCCCCTGGAGAGGGGGCCCTGACTCTGACTAGCACTGCCCGTTACTGGGAGGGAGGGGCCACATAAGAAACCTCACTGTGGTCATGCCCCCACCATTATCCAGGATCCAGTTTATCTGTAATAAAGGGGACACCGTATTCTCCATATGTCTTCCTCTTTAGCCTTATTTTTCAACCAATTCAAAACTAAGGCAAGGAAGAGCAGGGCTATCTGATGGGCTCTCTCAAATCCCAATACTGTATTTCTATCATATTTTCCTTTTTTATTTGAGCTTTCTGAACTTCATGTGTGTTGGCCACTCAACATTATCAAATTTTTACACTAAAACAAAAGTTCTCATTCCCAAATGGGACAAATCAACACAGAAAGATGAACCATCAAGAAAACAAACTCTTGACAGAGAGCTAGCCAAAGACAGGGGTGGCGGGGGAGTGGGATTGGGGAGGTAACTTGAATATTTAAAAAGCGATAGTACTTAGCAGAGGTTATTGTTGGGCCAGTTCTTCCCATTGAGAAAAGTATGATGCCAATTATCTAGTTAAGTCAAACAAAAGACTCTCTTTGACACACATAACTCATAATCAATTAAATACTGCCCTGTAGCAAAAGATCCAGATCTCTATATCCTTTATCTAGATTCCTATATCCTTTATCTGGGCTTCCCAGGTGATGCTAGTGATAAAGAATCCACCTGCCAATGCAGGAGATGAAAGAGACCTGATTTTGATCCCTGAGTCAGGAAGATCCCTTGGAGTAGGGAATGGCAACCCACTTCAGTATTCCTCCCTGGAAAATTCTATGGACAGAGGAGCCTGGCATGCTGCAGTCCACAGGGCCACAAAGAGTTGGACACAACTGAGCAATTGAGCACATGTCCTTTACCTAGATTTCAAACTTCCTATCTCTCAGGCTTGATTCTTCATCCTTCAGGCCAGCTTGTTGCTTCTATGAGGTAGTCTAGGGATGGAGTTAAGAATGAACTCTGGGGCTAGCAGACCTGATCCTCACCTGGCCTCTCATTCAACATGAAACCCAGACAATTTACTCAGCTTCTCTTCCAAGCCTCAGTGCTCTCATTTGTATAACGGTGGTAATGTTAGTGCCCACCTTAGAGGTTATGGTAAGGAATGATGGAATCATGCACTAATAAACGTGACCTCTCATGATGAAAACTCACAGAGACCTCCAGAGGTTACATCTACAGAAAGCAAATCTTTCGCCATCACCCTTCTCAGAGGAGAAAGCAAATCTTGGTACCCTAAAGTCTATGTCTTCATTATCTCCCAGCATGGCATAGGGGAGTTCCCCTGACTAACCTGAAATAATGTTAGGTGGCATCATTTTGTTTGAAGAAAGTGAAAGTGAAGTCGCTCAGTCATGTCTGACTCTTTGCAACCCTATGGACTGTAGCCTACCAGGCTCGTCCATCCATGGGATTCTCCAGGCAAGAGTACTGGAGTGGGTTGCCATTTCCTTCTCCATTGTTTGAAGAAGAAGAAGAAGAAGAAGAAGTGAAGTCGCTCAGTCGTGTCCGACTCTTTTGCGACCCCGTGGACTATAGCCCACCAGGCTACTCCGTCCATGGGATTCTCCAGGCAAGAGTACTGGAGTGGGTTGCCATTTCCATGGAGAAGACGGTACTAAAATGGCAGAGCCTAACCAATGAAGAGAGACTATTTTCAGTCATATGTAGTAAGACCTGATTTACAAGGAAAAGGAACAATCCAGTTTTTATGAATTCCAGAAAGCTCTAAACCTTCTTTATGTTCAGAATCAGATAATAATTACCCAAACATTTATCACTGGTTTTGAAATGTATATGTCCAGCTTATTATTGGCCTTCACGGCACAAATCAGAACTGAATTTAAACTGACTGACTCTGGAAATTTTATATAACTCTTCTGCTTTACAGAGTAGAGATGCTCTTGAGAAAGTCCTTATCAAAACAGACCATATATGGACATTTATTAGAACCCATGATAAGTCCTTTGTTAAAGTGATGAGATATTTTGAAAATGAATAACTGCTTAGTAATTGATGTTTATTTAGTATATTTTAAAACCTTTCATTTACTCAAAGTAAGAGTATGTCTTTGAATACATGTGATCATATAGATGCAATGAATTTTTAACAGAATGGTACGCTTATTCATTCAGACATTAGGAATCATCGAAACTGCTTTATTTCTATTTATCAAGGAAGTCTGTCCTCTACTTTTTTGGAATATCTTTGTAAAACTACCTTCAGCCATGTAAACATTCATAGGGACTTCCCTGGCTGTCCAGTGGTTAGATTCCACACTTCCACTGTAAGGGGCATGGGTTCAATCCCTGATCAGGGAACTCAAGATCCTGCATGCCCATGCAGTGCAGTAAAAAAAAGAAAAAAAGAAAAAAAAGTGAGTCTTTAAAAAAAAAAAAGCACTCATAACATAATTCAACCTTTATCAAGGTATTTATTACAATAAAAAATCAAGATAAGTATATGGATGAAATTGATGTCTTCTGCCAGCCTCTCCCCTGCCCCTGTGATACATTTACACATTTCCTCAGACTTCCTTAAATCCAAATGTGACATCAAAATTCCTTGGAGCTCTTGATACAGCTGCAGATTCTTGAGCCCTGCCTCAAAAAGGCATTTCTCCACTAGATTTCATACAAAGCAAGTCTAAACATCCCAGTAGAAAAGCAGTCTTCCTATAAACCAAAGTGCCGGCTTCTCTACAGACACATCACAGTGACCCAGGGGCACATCCTGGCCAGGCCTCTTTGGAAGCTCATTACCATCTTTGGGACCTTCAGTAGGAGAGCTCCCTTCTCCGCAAACCTGAGACATTCCAGACATGCAAAATGACTTGTCCCCTGAGAATCACAAAACTTCAGTACTGGAAGGGCCCCGGGATTCATCTAGTATAACTCCCCTTCCAATTTTCCATTTATACCATGCTTACTAGACAAAGGATTGGAGGTGCAGTGCACAAAAATGTGTACACTAAAATATTAAATATGAGAAATCATAACATGCTAAGAAAGGGAAAAATAAAAGTTAGAACATAAGGTCAAAATAAGGAAGGAAAATGGTCTCAAGCTATCAAGCCAAGGCTCCTGCAGAGTTCCTTAATAAATAAAGCTTTGAATTTGACTTGAGTTTCCTGGCAGTTCAAGCAGAGAGGAAAGCATGCTGGTGAGCTGATTCTTGTCTCCTGTGTGGAAGAGACTCCCACTTATAGAGAAAGAAACTCCATCCCAGGGAAGTAAGAGGGCTCTCTGGTTAGTGCCAGAACCAAGACAAAGACGCCATTCTCCTAAGTCCCAGACTAGTGTCAGCCCTGTGTCAGCTTCAAATATGTATGTTTGAGGACTGTAATCACAGAGGCTTTCCCAAGTCTCTTGTGAATTCTTTGTCTGTTCTTTAAACTTAAGTATCAGCAACAAGCTCAGAATCAGCAAACCCTGAAAGCCTCTTTCCTTCTGCCAAGGGCTGGCCCAGTTTTGAGAGTCACTGTGAGGACTCCCCTGACCCACGCCTCGCAATCTTCCTCTTTTTCATTCTCTCTCAATCAGGCAACTAACTGACCGAGAGGTGAGATACAATCATGGCAAAAGAGCTTTTCAAAATTCTCTCCTTCCTGTCTCATTCCATGGATAAGACGGTCTTCAGGAAACTTGACTTAAAATAGTTCTTCTGTATCCTCAGTTTAAACTGAGTCCCTTTTGTTGGTGTTCAGTCCCTCAGTCATGTTCAGCTGTTTGCAACCCCACGGACTGCAGCACGCCAGCTTCCCTGTCCTTCACTATCTCCTGGAGTTTGCTCAAACTAATGTCCACTGAGTTGATGATGCCACCCACCCATCTCATCCTCTCACCACCTTCTCCTCTTGCCCTCAATCTTTCCCAGCATCAGAGTCTTTTCCAATGAGTCGGCTCTTTGCATCAGGCGGTCAAAGTATTGGAGCTTCAGCTTCAGCATCAGTCTTTCCAATGGATATTCAGGGCTGATTTCCTTTAGGATTAACTGGTTTTATCTCCTTGCTGTCCAAGGGACTCTCAAGAGTCTTCTCCAGCACCACAGTTCTAAAGCATCAATTCTTTGGCACTCAGTCTTCTTTATGGTTCAACTCCCACATCTTGACAAATTTAGGACAGTCAGAGGTAAAATAAACTGACAGTCTTAATTTCCTATGTCTTATCTTTCCTTAATGTTCTGTCATCAGAACAGGAAGCTGCAGCTTTGCCTCCACCCACCGAGCAGTGCCTTTATTAATAGCCAGTGTCTTTAAAACAAAACAAAACAAAACAAAACTCTGTTTTGCTGTATTTCTGTCACCCACCGGTCACATATAGTGATCCTGGTTATCCTTAATGTTGAACAACTTTTCTCGCAATGGACTCATTCTCAGAAATACTGCCCTTCAAGATGGCCTTCTTAGAGAAGATACTTTCCACCAAGGCCCTAGGCATTCTCAGAAGGCCACACAAGGCCTGGGGAAGAAACTGGGCCTCTAGCTTCAAGCCCTGGGACTTCCTTAATGTATTAACACATCTTCTGGTCAGATTAAGACGTGAGCTATTTTAGGAAAAAGCCATTTGACGTTCTGAAATAGTAGAAAATGCTATTTTAAAAATTTCTCTGTTCTCCAGGTCACTGAAAAATGACTACAGATCCTTCTCTTGC